ATGATTTTTGTATGTATAATGTTTACTGAAAGTCTGCCAAATTTTGAAGATATACATACTGTATTAAAAGTTAGTAGTATCAAAACTATAAAGATTTGAAGCGAATATAAAAACGTCACGTGGTCGGTCAAATTGACAGAGCCAGTAATGGCTGGAGACGGCTTAAATGGGTAATGGGTACCTGATGATGACAAAACCTTGTCGAAACGTTGTACATTTGCTGTGTTAAACTTGTATTAAAGTTTTTCTTCATTACCCATTTAAGCCGTCTCCAGCCATTATTAGTCTCAAAGTGGGTTCCTCGTCATCGAATTTGACAGAGCCAGTGTTGATATATATACAGTGTATGTGTTCATTGTTTATGTACTGTCAATTCGGAAAGCTAGCGAAACGGTGCTATGCGCTGGTATGATCCCGAGAGTTATATCGTTTGGTTTTAGAGACTACGAGTGTTCTACATCAAAAAAGATCTGCTTACTTCATGACCTGCAAAAGTAAGGTCACTGATGGGCCAAATACTACTTGAAATTTTGTGCATCACTTGAAAATCCTCGCTGAGACGTGAGTAGCTTTTCCCGTTATCTGTAGTTCATTATGTATTGAAAAAGACGATCTAGGCCTAGTGTAGGCTTGTATTACAATGTAAATACAAGTCGCTCAGGTTAAATATCAGGGAATCATTTAATTTAGTCCTATTTTCATTGCAGTACCGGCATACAATTTAAGTTTAATTATAACTTAAGGTGCACATTGTAGGGACTTAATTTTACTTCACCCCCCCCCCCCCCCAAACAAAACCTTTACAATTCCAACAAAAGTGTCAGATTGGGAAAGAAGGGGATCGAATTAGTATGTAAGTTAATAAAACGAAAATGACACTGTTGAATTGTGATTTTTGGCATTTAAAAAAATACCCCCACTTTCATATTTATAAATTTCTTTCATTTGTGGGAGGTAATTCTTGTGAGTTGATAAATATACTTGATATGACGTTGTCTTACCTTGTTACCACAAGTTACTACAACAAAAACTTAAAGCTTGGGTTTTTAAGTGTTCATAATTCATAAACTAATAATTGCTTGCTGTTTAAATATAAATATGATCAATATGATATGATATGATATATATATATATGCGATTAATATGATTAATCATAATCATATCAATTGTCCATAAATACATACCCAATTTTGATAGAATTATTAAAAGCACTGCTCAAAGGAGCAAAACAAGATTTTTGCTGTCAAAATGCATGTAAGTCAGACATAAAAATTCAGAGGTCATTTAGAAATCAGATTGGCAAAAGAACTCAAAATTTGTCAAATTTGAAAAGTTTATGATTGATTTTAATTAAATTAATATGGCCCAAAGGTGCAAGTCACACTCTTCCATCAAGGTTTACTTTTTTAAGGCCTCATTTTAGAAGATGTTAAAGCTTTCGCAAACTTGTCATTAACTCACCTTACCTATTTTTGTTTTGTTTTTGTTGTTGTTGTTTTGCAACAATTATATTTTTATTTAAATCCTTGCACAGATATAAAGAGTACTGTGATTCAAAGACAATATTCGGAATCACAGATCAAAACCAGAGATCAATTACATCCATCGTAACTAGCCCAGTGGCTGTGTGGAGCGTCACATCCCCGTTAGCGAGCCGTTACCGAGGCAATTATATCTAACCTTATTGACTGTGCGATGCCACTATCAATAATTGAACGTGATAGTTTTCGTCATTTCATAGGTATTTTAGATAGCAAGTATGAGCCAATTAGTAGAGGATCTGTATCATCCCACGTAAGTGGCATGGTTACAAAACAGCAAGACCTCATCAAGGCCCAACTACAAGAAACATCCTGGGTTTCTTCCACTGTCAACATCTGGTCAGACAGATAGATGAGAAGTTTCCTTCGTGTGACTGCCCATGCAATTAAAATCAATAAGTCTGCCATCAACCTGAGGCCGTACCTGTTAAGCTGTAGCAGATTCACAGGTTCCCACACAGATGAGAATATCAGCGAGGCGTTTGAAACCATCTGTGGCGAATATGTAATAAAGAACAAAGTTGACTACATTATATGATTATATGTGACAATACATCGAATATGAAGAAAGCGTTCCTATATGCTTCCTGTATGGTTCCCTAGAACCACTGATGATGATGCAGGACCTACTAGTGCTGATGGCCTTGATGATGACAGTTTATGGGAAGAGCTCTAGGAAGAATACCACCAAGATGTAGATATGACACTGACCAGGAACTGCCAGAAGTAGCGCCTGCAATGTTTTACACACATCCTGCAACTGATGGTGTCAGATGGGCTGAAGGAAACAAAAGCAATCAACCTCGCCATGAGTAAAGCTTAAAAATTATACACCTTACTGCATTCCAGTTGCTTCTTTAAAGAAGCTTTTGAAAATGTGTTTGGGACTAACAAATGGATTCCTGCCCTTAACTGCACCAGATAGAACTCAACCCTAAGACACATTAAAGCTATACTATGTCTCGACCATCAGGCATTGTGCAATATCCTGGAAGAACAAGCACATAAAGAGGTAGTTTTCAGCAGCAGAGAATGCAGTCAATTGCAAGAACTAGTCACCATCTTGGAACCCTTCTTTAAAGCAACCAACTTTATGCAAGGAGAACAGGTTGTCACCATAAGCCCTGTCCTGCTCTGTGTGTTGTTGTTAAGTCATCATCTGCATGATATGTTATCAGTGTTCGGTATCTAAACAGCCTAATCAGAGACCTCAAAGACTCACCGTGGAAAAGATTCCAAGAAATCTTTGTCACTACACAAATGACGGAATCCACACAGGAAATTGCCAATCTACCATTTGGTGATCCCATTTGTCTCTTGTCAGCAGCACTTGGTCCAGCATTCTGCATAATATGGATCGAACACGATGTCTTGGCATAAGAAGAGGTAAAGGACAAGGTCAAGAAACTTGCAAAATGTATATATCATTAAAACAGTAATAGCTGTTTGAACCATGGGAGTGAAATATGAATTTTGGGCTAATTTTAGGGAAGCAATTTGTTTTGAATAAAAAATCTTATCTGATCTAATGATGGTTAAACTCACTGAAATGGTTATAAACAGATTATACATAAGAAAACATATATTTACTGCTAATAGAGCATAAAGTTTAAAAGTATTGATGAGTTATATTTGATAATTCTCAATTTTAGCTTCATCCGATCAGTTCAAGTCACATTTACAGTGTGTACAAAACTACTAATATTAATTGTCATTCAATTTACGTTATATATTTTTAAAATGCAGTCGGAGTCATTCAGCACGCCTCTTTTAAAGGAATTTTAGGCGTCTTGTCTTCTGCATGTTAGAAGTAATTTATGCATGACAATTTAACTTAAAACTTGTATTACTTTGGATTTTCTTTCAGATATTCATTATGTAGATTTGATCATGTCCCAGGCTAGCAGAGTACTGGTAGAAAACGACACAATAGCGAGGAGAAAAACATTCCACCCCAGCAGTTCCCTCGACTTTTTACCGTGTACAAAAGGAGCAGACACTGGGGTGGGGCTCCTAAGACATCTGTATCTTCCCAACTCAGCAGATACTTCGAGATGTCCCAAGAATTTCCTGAAGGAAGTCCCAATGCAAGTCTTCACTTCTTGTTGGTCAACAAGAATAACCTCTCCAGGTTGTTTCCTGGGGGCTATGAGAGTGCTAGCTGTCCCTGCTTCTAGTTCTCTCATTGAACGAGTGTTCAGCCATGGAGGCATCATAATGCGCCCTCATAGCGCGAAGCTTAATGACAAAATGCTGTTTCACCTGATATTTCTAAAGTGTAATGGTTTGTACAGATAAATTATATACTCTGAGTGCCTTCTAGTCATTGACGCCACACACTATGATGCAGATATTAAGCACAACCACACTGCTTGGAGACCTTATAGTGAAGCTGGTCCAAAATAAAAGATAATTCACACTTCCTTTACCAACCTGTCTGATTCAATTGAATTTCCACTGCCATGGATTGTTGCATGTGTGGCACAAATAGTATGCCATGTCTTGGCATGACATCAGATTCAAATGATATCCAGCTTATTGCATTTATGTATATTGGAAAAGGTCCCCTCCAAACAAACTATTACTAAGCCTGTGTAGAAACAAACTGAGGGTATATTATTTTGGCTTTTATAACCAATTAACAAAAAAGCACAGTGCAGTTTCTTCCTTATAGAACATTTTGCTAGTCCACAAACACATTTTATCATTATGACTTGACTTGAGACTTGCAGGAAATGATTGACTTGTCTTGAGACGTGACCTTAATGACTTGCGACTTAATTTAAATTTGGACAAAAAACGACTTGTTACCAGCTGTGCTAAATATAGGTATAAGTGTTACCTCGAAAAAAGTAAGATACACATTAGCATGAAGTGGTCTCAATGGACGTGTAGCTGTCAGAAAATCGCTGCTGAAAAGAGGTAACCATGCCTAAAACATGAAAGTGAATCAAACCACAGTGGAAGGAGCAAAGTTTTTGATGTGTACTCTTTAAAGATTAATTCAAATTTGAATTGACTGTCCACAATGAACAACAGTGTATTCGATGGCGAAGAGAATAATGGTATCATAATTAATGTAAAACATGTGCAATGAAGCATGATGTGCAATTAGAATGAATTTGGGTCTACATCTCAGCCAATGGTGTCAGTGATGTTCAATTATGGCATTCTAAGTACTGACAAGTGCATCACGATCTTATCCATCATGCAACTCCTTCAGGAACACGATTCATGATCTCAAGCATACAGCAAATGTAACAAAACGATATTCTGACGGAAAAGAAGTTGATGGAATAGTGATAACTATGAGTTAGACCGTACAAATTCCCAGTATGAGCATTCATGAGGATGTATGGGCTTATGTGAAAAACTGAAAAGTCCAAAAGAAAACCAAGCAACTTGGCTGAATTATGGGAACACAGAACATTTGGAACAATATTTCACAATCATGTATATATATTGATAACCTGTATGGCTGCATGAAAACAAGGTGTAATACTTTGTGTAAAATAAAAGGCTCACATACAAAGTAATAGCGCATTCTAAAGCTTATCCACTTTTGTGTTCTATTTCTGTAATAATGTTTTGCATTGATAAATTGACAATCTAGTTTCCATTTGTCGTTGTTTGTATCTCTTATATATGCATCGTTTGTGTATTTTTCCGTAATTATTTCCATTTCTGTATATTGCAACGAACAAAGTGTATGCTAGCATTGTATCTTGTATATTCTGTAGATATGTTTCCTAAAATTCAGTTCTAGTCTTTAAAGGGTTTTATTTTGTTCTGTGGTGAATTTTTTTCTTATTGTGCATTGTATTTTGAAATTTTATTTTAAAAGGTTTTCTGAATTGTTATATCCAACGTGTTTAGTTGGTGGTTGGTATGAAAAACGCGGACGTTTGTCGTACTTGTGAGCCTCGTGTATGCATGATTCATTTGATATGTTACCATGTTTTTATTCTATGCAGTTATGCTGATCCACTTGCATCCAGTATGATTAATGGTTGCGATTTTAACTTGGCATTACATTTTAATTAAAGGCAGATTGATTGAAATCCTTGGTTAAAGGAGAACGGAGTTGTGGTAAGCAAGTGCTAAAATCTCATGCTCCTGTAATGTACATGTTTATATTTAATGTTTTAAAAATTTCCTAAATGTTCGTTCCATATACTAAATACAGCCGAAGTTGTGTGTCAATTCAACCTAACGTGTTACTTTCTTCAGCAGGATCCAGTTATAGAAATTATCAACTGTTGTGGTTCCCAAACTTTCCCAAGTGCTGGAACGTTTTTGCCTATATATATTCTGTCCCTCTATTGTAGAATTATCCTACATGGCACACCATAAAAAGCTTTGATTCATGCAAGACTATAAAGAAAGAATGACACTTACCTTTGTCAGTGCGATCGGTGGGCTTACTTCCCTTCACAGAGCTAATTGTAATGCCTTAGTAATAGTGATCAATTCATTGCTGATTTTGTTCCGTGGAACCCCTGGAAACCCTTTGCAAAACCTTGAGGTTCTACGGAACACAATTTGGGAACCACTGAGCTACTATTTCATAAGATAGTGTATCTTGTCCTACTTTACCTCGTACGAAAAAAGAAAAGCTTGTTCTGCTACTGTAATACGAAGCAGAGGTATTTCTGGTAAATGTCTTTGGCGATCATTTCAATCAGCCATATAGCTTCTAGTTTCTTTCAGCAGTAAAATTTGTTTCTCTATTGTTTTAATTGTTTACAGACGATGAGCCAGTGCACAATATTATTTTATCTTCAGTAAATAAAGTTTATTTTATCTATCTTCACATCATTCGTCTCTTTCTTTCCAGCTGTAATAAATTACTGCCACTGCACTTCCACATAAGAGGTCCACGAATCTTTTGGTATTGCGATGATCAAATAACTCTGTGCTAGTTAATCTTTGGAACTCCTCGCATTGCTACTTCGCTTATAATTATTTTTAAGTTGTTTTTAATTTCGAAGAGGCAATAGAAAACAATATATATTGCTCAAAATAAAACGTTTACAATTAAATAACCTTGTAATTAGGTAGAAAGCCTAATTGGGCTATCTGTGCTCTGCCCAACACGGGTACCGAAACCCGGTTTCTAGCGTTATAGGTCCGCAGACATACCGCTGTGCAACTAGGGGGGGGGGGACAATCTAATCTACTTGTTTTTCTCATTCGGAAGTAAGTTAATACAAAAAGTGGTTTTGAATAACTCGGATCTTACTGTTTACATTCATTTAAAGTTTCTTTTTTGTTGGAAAGACAGTTTACAATGGAATGGACAATTCGTAATAAAATATTGAAAAGAAAATGACTAGGAATCATTGTTAATGAAACATCAAAAACATTACTTTAACTTTAACACATGCCAGGTTGTTTTATGCGTTAAACATTATTAGTCAAAGTAAAAGATACTTCCGAATTAAAAAAAAACACACTTGGAACAAATATGTTTGTTTGTTTGTAATTAAGTACAAAGCTACACAATGGCCCACCGTAGGTATCGAAACCCGGATTCTAGCGTTGTAAGTCCACAGACATACCGCTGTGCCACTGGGGTGGGGAGAGATATGAGAAATAACTGTACCATGTAAAAACAAAAAGCTCCTACTATTTAAGTTTGCTATTCTGACAACCAATTTTTAATAAATTGTGATTACCATAGTGTTCAAAATTTTACATTTCAGTGAATTAGACGAAGCTTTCCACCATCTCTAATACTTTGAAATTTTAATGAATCCATCACATATACTGTAAAACATTGTTAAATATTCAATAACTAGACATATTTTCTCAACTCTATTTTTTTGTATGTGTATTTTCTTTCTATAGATTATCGAACATATCAGAAGTCTGTGTTCAAGAGGTTTTAATTTTATTTCTAGTTTTATTTTAGGTTTGTTTGTTTCGAAAATTCGCGTACAGTTCCGCAATGGATAGATACGCAAGCAGTTCTTAATTTTGAATTGATAGACAAGAAGGAAGGCAGCATCCACCGCCAACACTTGGGTTAATCTAATTGAATAGTGAGATTTGACCGCTACTCTCACGGCTCCAACGCGCGGAACGTGTTTTTCCGCAATGGCACACAAACCACGAATCCTCGGATTCACAGTCTGTGCACTCTAACCACTTACACACCCGGCCCGTCTAGATTTAGGCTCTCTTATTGACAACTCTTTAATTAAATAACAAATTAGAAATCCTATTTCTAATCCCCCTCGATAGTTCAGCAATTATTCTAAGGACTTCTAACGCTAAAAATAGGGTTTCAACATCCGCAGTGGGAATTGCATAGACAACCCATTGCGTAGCTTACGCTTAACAATAAACAAAAGATTTATAATCGTAAAAGAAAATTGTGAATAACTTCTTTAGGTAATATATGATCCTCTGACTGCATTTTATTGTTACTAAAGCAACAGAACTACAGTGATTCGTTTTCTTATAAAGTTTAATATTTTTTTCCGGGGAACCTTTGTCCCATTAATTCAGAAACTTACAGTAAAATGCATGAAGAAATAAGCCGCAATAATAACATTACAAATCTTATCACGTTATACTTTAATGAAACCTCTTAATTTTGTTACAGTTTTGTTATGAATGATTACAACTACACATATTCAGTGTATACGTGTCACAGAAACTGCCTGCGTTTTTAATGATAATTAACATTAAGTATATAACTAAATATGAAGAGAAATACAAGCGCATAAATACCATAATAATATATGTCTCACCTTTTAAATGGTCACTTTTATTGGGGCCTCCTATTTAGGGCTTGTGTAATAATCTGCTCTTACAACAAGTACCATATAAGCCTACTTATAGCAGTCGATAGTATCATTTGTACTGAAACGTTCAAATTAATTTGTTTTAATAACACCGTCTCAAAACAAAATCACGTGATTATTTGACATAATTTTAATTCAGATTGTTTAATCTAAATTAAGTAGTAACATTTTCCAAAGTATACCACGCTTATATAAAAAAAAAGGCATTAAAAATAACCCATATTCTTTAAATTTACGGATTATGAAATTGAAGTAGATGTAAGCGCTTAGTCCTATATGTATTACTAAACATATGGTGAAAACGATAAATGGAAGACTAATTTATTGATTCATACCATCAAAATTCAAGTGTTATACTTTTAGTAAAATCTTGTGGAGAAAATTTTATATATGCAGCCTGTAAGAGAAAAAAAATGCGAGTGAAGGAGGATGGAAGAGATACAAAGTATACCCGACCCTCCCATAGGTAAAAAACGAAATTATATATAAACTACTCGTTCGATTCCTTATTTATGTGGGCCGACATGGCCAAGTGGTTAGGGCACTCGACTCGCAATCTGCAGGTTCGAATCCCCATCACACCAAACATGCTCGCCCTTTCAGCCGTGGGGTTTTATAATGTGACGGTCAATCCCACTATTCGTTGGTAAAAGAGTAACCCAAGAGTTGGCGGTGGGTGGTGATGACTAGCTGCCTTCCCTCTAGTCTTACAATGCTAAATTAGAAACGGCTAGCGCAGATATCCCTCGTGTAGCTTTGCGCGAAATTAGAAAACAAACCAAACAATGTACAGTTTTTCACAACTGTTCGATCTTATACAATCTCGATTTTTGTTTATGTTTTCGAATGGTTACTCGCTCTTTTTGTGGGGGGGGGGGGGGAGTTCTATATAAAATGAGATAACACGGAGAATGCTCAACTTCAAGGGTAGGTTGGATGAAAACATAAGCTAGTCAAAAGTTTACCGAATGATTTTTTATAGATGCACCTGTTCAAGTTTTCTGTTTTAATCCCAAATACCATTAGCGTTTCTACATTTAAGTATAAAATAAAATGTTCTCGATAGTTATACTTGTCCCACAATATTGAAATGCTCTCGTTCTTTCAGTTGATTGTTGTTGTTTTTTTACGTTAATCACTTTGAAATTATGTTTTATTGTAGATTTCTTATTTTATTACTTGCAATTTTTTAAAGATCGACCAAAGAGGTGAAACTAATTAGAGCTAATTTCTTGCTTCATTCCTTTTTGACATTATGTTTGGTTGTACATTT